ATCGTTCTCTCTGGCCGTAACAGTTTGTCTTTCTGGCTTCGTTCCGGCCAATGGCCATCTCTATTTACCCACAGTGCGTTGCTCCGAGTGCTCTCCTGCCTGCTGTCATCTTAATATTCAGTGTTTCAGAGGTGCTCCCATTCACCTCGTTTGTTCCTGAGCGTAAGGCGTTAAGATCTCCAGGTTACATTTTCTCTTTGCTAACATTCAGGTTTCACAGTGCTGTGGTTATTTATTCTTCAACAGAGTGAGACTGGCTTTGTAATATCGTAGCACCTGACTGGCTTTGCTCCTCTGCTGACTGAAATGTAACAGGCTCTTAAGGATGCCCTCTGTGGGTTTTTTTTTTTGTATGTTTAAGGAAGAGTCAGAGACTCACAAAGACAGCGTTTCTAAACTTCAACATAGCATGCATCTGCACAAATACACAACCAACCAAGCCAACTGACCAACCAGCTTTTTATCACGTTTCTTCTTTAATTACCCTTCTACAAAAAAAGTCAGAGAGGGAGAGCGCGAGGCTTTGCTCAAAATAACTCACATTTTTTTCCTCTCCCTCATTACCACTTTCTGTTTAATGTCTCCTAAAGGCCGATATGTTATATGTATGAAGCTTACATAAGTTCAGTGCAATACCTGCCTCGTCCTGGTTTTTTAAAGGCACTCTAGCAGTAATGAGGGACAAGCTGGCCCGTCCAAACATAGCTTCTAAGAGCAAAGCCTTCTACTCTCACCCTCTCGGGCAGTGTTTCTTTTTTTTGGGGGGGGGGGTGGTAGAAGTTGGGAGAAGGGAAAGAGAAGTTAAGATTTTGAAAGAGGAAAAAATGATAAGAACAAAGAATATAGGAGGACAGTGGAAGGGGGTTTAAATCACTCTCTCCACATAGGAGAAATGGCGGGAGCTGGGAAGAAGGGGAAGAAGAGAGGCGGCTGTGTTTATAAGTCGCTCTCTCCGTAGAGCGCGCTGGAGAAGGAGATGTAGTCCAGGGCACCGGCGGGGCCGTCGGCTCCGATGTACCTGGTCATGCGGCTGATGCAGTACTCGGCCTGCTCGGGCGGCAGCTCCCTGCGCAGCTCCTCCACTGTGATGTAATTCTGGAGGCGAGAGAGGGAGTGAGGATGTGGTTTACAGAGAAAAACAAAAAGATTTGTATTGTCCCATAGCACCAAGACTAAATAAATACTTAGCCGAGAGCTGATTTTGAAACCTCCCTTCTACTGGAATTTTACAAACACTTTAAATTTCATAGCCAGACTGCTAACTAACCAAGCAACTGAGAAAGCTTTACTATTCTTCCAGATTTGAAGGTAAATTTGACTCTTAATTTTGTAGTTTGTCCTGCTGGTAAAAATACTTCTAGTTTGAGATCTGGGAACAGTGACAGAATGTTTACAAGCGCTCAGGAAACCAGGGGCTCTGTACCACGACGCAGATCAGTGGGTTAGCCAGCTATCTTGGGGCTTAACTCAGGTTTTCTGGGATCACAAAGCTCACTTTTAGGTGGAGTAGGTCACCTTCACTGCCGTCATTCCTACAGGATCCCGCAATGAACCAGAGTTTCAAATAAAGTGACGACTAATAAAGAGCTCTAGATATTTTTATAGGTCAGTCAAATAGCTTTGCTGTTCCAGATGGAACAAACATAGGGAGTGTTTACGACACTAAATACATACTGATAATTATAGTTGTATTTTAATTTTGCAAAGATTCCTTAACTTCCTGACCGGCTGTCCTTTTATTCAGCCTCTCTGCTGTCACTTTTCCAGTTTGGCATCTTTCTACATGAGTTGCGCGTTCACATGGCCGAGAAATCTGGTTTCTCTAATCCTCTACCTGTACTATTTTTACCTCTACAGGGAAAAAGGTTTCTCATTTACATGACGTTTTAAGAAATTTGGTTACTGCATAAAATGGACTGTAACCCGGCTTGTTTACAACATGTCTCTTGCCCTATTTTAGATCGTCGTAGACATGTCACATTGTTCCCAGATCTTAACATTTACTTGTATGCGTAAAATGTAATAACAGACGAGAGAAATGATAACCCAAACTACAAAAGACAGAAATTGTGTATTGTGATAAGTTTTCGATGATCATGTTGGATCTCTGCTAAAATCTCACACGTGTCGAGTGTAAAACAACTACTGTGTCAGTGGTAAATGTTGTTGGGTCTCATGGTGACGTTAGATGTTCTTTGCTGTGAAGCCAACAGGGTGCCGGATTCGTCTGCTCACCTTGTCTGAGGCCAGAATCTTGAAGGAGGCCATGACCTGTTCTGCGGTGTCAGTCTCGGCGGTCTCGCGGGTCATGAAGTCGATGAAGGCCTGGAAGGTCACCACGCCCGTGTTGTTGGGGTCCACCAGGGTCATAATGCGAGCAAACTCCACCTCACCCTGTCAGGAGAGAAAAGGATAGTTTTAGTTCAACATCAGTTAATTCAATTCAACATAATGTGCAGGCACATTTGTAACAAAAAGAAGGGCTGCGGCTTTCACCAATTGGCAATAGTGTCATGCAGCAAAAATACATTTTATAAACATTTTTACAAACTTGCACTGCATACACAATACAAATATTTCAGTAATCATATCACTTTTATTACTTAATTCAGGCAAAGCTCTGACCTCTTGCTACATTCACGACACTGACATGTTTTATTTCTTGACAATTCAAGTTTTACTCAATATCAATGTCATTTTGTCCTGAAATTGTACGTGTTGCACTAACCAGATCGTAACCCATGGAGATGAGACAGGCACGGAAGTCGTCTGGGTCCATCATGCCGTTTCTCTTCTGCAAAGGAAAAACGCAATTGTGTTTAATTATTGGATCAAACTGTTTAGCTATAAGATCCCCAGTGTAGCTCCTATCAGAGTAATACAGCCCATGTTTTACTTTCTTACTGCTGCTAGAATACTGAGCATTAACTGAAGTTGTGTGACTGACACTTTCTTGAATATTGAAACTCTTAGAAGGACATAAAAAGAAGCAT